CACAGGATTATTTTTGTGAAATCAGTGACTAAACCGAGGAGGAAAATAAACCTCTCAGTTGATTTTACCATATGTTTGATTTTCAAAAATTATTGAAAATATCTTTAGTTTGCGAAATTATATTAAAAACATGAACTGTACTTGCTCTTAGTGAGCACTCAAAGAAAACTTCTACGTGGTTCTGTTTTTATACACATACTGTTGATGGGTATCTTAGACATCTTATCTTTGAAACTTAAAAAATGCTTTTTTCGGCACAAATTTACATTTCAAACATGGCAGGGGTCAGGAAGTTGCAAATTCATTTCTTACCCAAGAGTTCATGAAACTAATTTCTGTTGACACAAAATTACCCAGTTACGGGTTACTTTCTATAAACTATTACAGGAATGAATGATGGTTAAACATACATTAATCACATTTAACAACGGTTCTTTCAAGTTTCTTTACATTAAAAGGTTAACTCGGTTTACTTTCTTTTGCCCCCAAGAAGATAGACCGTTGCGTTTTAAGGCTGAGACATTAGTTCAGTGTACAAGTGGACAGAGAAGGGGAGAAGAGAAATTAATATAATTTAGAATCAGAAATTCAAATTCGTCCTTTTCAAGAAGAGGAAATGTTTTCTTAGACGTTGAGAAGGTTGCAACAAATTTGAAATGGCCACAATAACATTGGGTATTGTTTGGATGGGTACCACTGAAGCAGCCTCTCCAGCATTATCCGTTGATGTTAGTTCATGATGAAGTTAAAAGGGCCATTTTGAAGGCTTAGGGGTTGGTCTAGTCAGTCAAATGAAAGGGATGATTGAAGCTTAGTTGGAGTTTGCTCGGGAAAGGGAAAATGTGCTTGAGAGGTGGTATTTGTCGATGAATGTTGGCCAAGAATTTGATAAGTTGAGGCAGCTGATTTTGTTGACAGATTTCAGGCAGTAAGAGAATAAGATTTGGTTGAACATAAGGTAGATCGGTTACACCAGACTGCAACCGTGGCAGGATGATTACTGGGTTACTCACAAGGCTAATATCAGGCAGTGCAGTTACTCTCCCATGAATGGTCAGGGTACTTCCGGTCAGGTCAGTCGGTAATTCAGGTCAGGAAAGGTCACCTACTTCTGTTTAGACGGGTTAGTTCATTCTCTAGGAAATCAGATACCCAAGGTTCGAAATAGGATTTGGGTTTGTCGTCAGGAGTTAGATAGAGGTACTGACTCAAGCCAGGTCGTTTGATTTCAGATAGTCGTGTACCAAAGGCTATAAATAAGTCACAAACATTACCCGATGTTTTTTGGGTGAATGTCCCAACCTGTTTCTGATTTTTTATGCCATTACTATCAGAGATGGATATTGTTGTAGTATTCAGTTACCATGGACGCGGGAAGGGGGGGGGGGGGGGGCACTTCCCTATTATTTGGCCACTTAATAAAGGGAAGAAATCCAGAATGCGACCCATAACTATTCTGAGGGACACAGGGGGCATCCAGTGCTTACTGTTGGAGGGCGTCCTGTTATTTTCGGAAGTTTCTTCTTCTATCTGGGATGTTCTACTGGGGGGTATTAGCGGAGTTACTGGTACTCCTCTACATATTGTTGAACTGCAATCAGATTTAGTAGCATAGGTTTGGATGAAAGATAGTGTCAAGGATACTCTCCTAGTTGCAGGCGTTGGCTTGCTTGTTGGTCATGACTTACCGGGGCTCGATGTCTTGGCTGACCATGCATTGAGACATGCACTTCAGAGAACGACGAATCGCTTCAGGAAGATATGTTTCCTTCATGTGTAATGACTCGTTCTTTGGCTGACGTGATCTCACGTGACATTTTAGACGAGGATGATGCCACTTATGATTTAATTTGTACTTTCATTCACCAGTCTCTCAAAGAATACCCTTTCTTCTAATCAAAGTATTTCTGTTTCGGGTTATTTGCAGGGCCTTGACTCTGTACTCTCTTGAGCGCAGTTCATTTCTTCACAGGGTGGCGATCCTGAAATTCAAGTACCTGTTAGACGAGCACCTTCTTCTAATGAGGCTGCCAAGGTGTATGTTTGTTTCCAACCAACATGGTGTTCTTAAGAGGAAATGGAGTGAGTAAGTTTGGTTTTACGCCGCTTTTAGCTATATTCCGGCAATATCACGCCGGGGGACACTAGAAATGGGCCTAACACATTGTACCCATGTGGGGAATCAAACCAAGGTCTTCGTCATGACGAGCCAACTCTTTTAATCACTAGGCTACCCCACCGCCCCTGAAGGTGAAGGAGTCGTTCTGACGCCCCCCCCCCCCCCCCCCCCCCCCCCCCCCCCCCGGGATATGGGATGAAGGCTAACCACCGCTTTGGTGTCACCATAAAAGGTTTCAAGTTTAAAATCACAAAATTAGTAGTTGGAATTCGAAAACGTTTGGAAGGCATATCGATTGAAAGAAATAATTTGGAAATATTAAGAAAAGGCATAGAACTGTTTGTAGAAAATATCAACTATGTTGCAGCATGTTATTATAGCAATCATCATTGTGACCAATATGTTACAGATTAAGAACTGGTTAGTTAATATACATATGTGTATCCATCAGTGTTGAGTATCCTCGTTTTGATCAGGAAACAAAAGCAGAGGATAATTGTTATGTTTGAACAGAGCAGTCTAATCATTAGATATGTATTCGGTTCAATATCTGAACTCTTAAACATTAAAACTCAAGGAACTGTTTAAATTCTTGGAAGCTATGCCTCACATCCATGCGAGCACAAATCAAATGCCCACTCTCATGAATATCCCAGGGGTGAAAATTTGTCAACAATATATTTCCACACTGACAATACGATTTCCTTTGTCAAAGATGGCGGCGGTCCTTTACCTCGGGATCAATTGAATATGTGGGTTTCTACGAATCTGCGAACACAACACACGAGAACTACCTACCTGACTCTACACGCTGACGGTACAGTGCATTCTTGTTGCAGTAACAATTCCCCATTTTCAGAATAAAAGACTGCAAGCAACGGGACATGATACCCGAAGCCTAGCTCATGGTTACAACTGGATACGTGTATGTGTGACTTGGTCAGAAATTCGTCGCACCAATTTATTACGACGCAGATCTTTTTTGATTGATAGGTATTATCATGCATGCGCATTGCTAGTTCCCTCTGAATCGGTGAACTGTTTGGGAAACTAAACATTTTCTATTCATCAAAAGTAAGAGATTTGTATAAGTAAAATCAATGAAAATCATTCATTAATTCAATATATAGTGATCTTGTCATTTCGTTGGAAGTACAACTGATGCGTACGTAAAATCTCTATAGTAATGTTTAATTACAAGTTTAAATCAGTTGAAATGCACATATATCAAGCTGGTGCCCCGTGAGTACACATCTAATAAAATTCCTGTTGCTGTTTAAGTAATTTTCTGCATATTCATTGCTACAACTTCTTTCAGGACTAATCCCTGTTTCGATTAGTCCAATGAGCTAAATGTCATACATTTGTACATTCAAAATAATGACTCTAGCGGTGGTGGTGGTGGTAGTGGTAGTGATGGTAGTAGTAGCGATTGTAGTAGTAGTGGTGGTGGTGGTAGTGGTGGTGGTGGTAGTAGTAGCGATAGTTGTGGTAGTAGTAGTAGCAGTAGTAGTAGTAGTAGTAGTAGTAGTAGTAGTAGAAGCGATTGTAGTAGTAGTAGCGATTGTGGTGGTGGTGGTTGTGGTAGTAGTTGTGGCACTAGTAGTAGTAGAAGTGGTGGTGGTAATAGTAGTCGTTGCGATAGTGGTGGTAGTAGAAGTAGTAGTAGTAGTAGTAGCGATAATGGTGGTAGTAGTGGTAGTAGTAGCGATAGTAGTAGTGAAATAGTAGCAGTATCGATAGTGGTGGTAGTAATAGTAGTAATAACAACGATAGTGGTGGTTGTAGAAGAAGTGGTGGTAGTATTAGTAGTAGTTATAGTAGTATTAGTAGTAGTTATAGTAGTAGTAGTAGTAGTAGTAGTGATGGTAGAAGTAGTAGTAGTAGAAGTAGCGTTAGTAGTAGAAGTAGCGATGGTGGTAGTAGAAGTAGAAGTTGTAGTAGTAGCGGTAGTAGTAGTAGTAGTGGTAGTAGTAGTAGTGGTAGTAGTAGTAGTAGTGGTAGTAGTAGTAGTAGTAGTAGTAGTAGCAACGATAGTGGTGGTAGTTGTAGTAGTAGCGATAGTAGTAGTAGTAGTAGTAGTAGTAGTAGTAGCAGTAGTAGAAGTAGTGGCAATGGTAATAGTAGAAGTGCCGGTGACAATAGTAGAAGTAGTAGTAGTAGTAGTAGTAGTAGTAGTAGTAGTAGCGATAATGGTGGTAGTAGTAGTAGTAGTAGCGATAGGAGTAGTAGTAGTAGTAGTAGCGATAATGGTGGTAGTAGTAGTAGTAGTAGTAGTAGCGATAGGAGTAGTAGTAGTAGTAGTAGTAGCGATAATGGTGGTAGTAGTGGTAGAAGTAGCGATAGCAGTAGTAGTAGTAGTAGTAGCAGTATCGATAGTGGTGGTAGTAATAGTAGTAATAACAACGATAGTGGTGGTTGTAGTAGTAGTGGTGGTAATAGTAGTAGTAGTGGTGGTAATAGAAGTAGTAGTTATAGTAGTAGTAGTAGTAGAAGTTATAGTAGTAGTAGTAGTAGTAGTAGTGATGGTAGTAGTAGTAGTAGTAGTAGTAGTAGTAGTAGAAGTAGTAGTTGAAGTAGTAGTAGCGATAGTACTAGTAGTAGTAGTAGTGGTAGTAGTAGTAGTAGTAGTAGTAGAAGTAGTAGTAGTAGTAATAACAACGATAGTGGTGGTTGTAGAAGAAGTGGTGGTAGTATTAGTAGTAGTTATAGTAGTATTAGTAGTAGTTATAGTAGTAGTAGTAGTAGTAGTAGTGATGGTAGTAGTAGTAGTAGTAGAAGTAGCGTTAGTAGTAGTAGTAGCGATGGTGGTAGTAGAAGTAGAAGTTGTAGTAGTAGCGGTAGTAGTAGTAGTAGTGGTAGTAGTAGTAGTGGTAGTAGTAGTAGTAGTGGTAGTAGTAGTAGTAGTAGTAGTAGTAGCAACGATAGTGGTGGTAGTTGTAGTAGTAGCGATAGTAGTAGTAGTAGTAGTAGTAGTAGTAGTAGTGATGGTAGTAGTAGTAGTAGTAGAAGTAGCGTTAGTAGTAGTAGTAGCGATGGTGGTAGTAGAAGTAGAAGTTGTAGTAGTAGCGGTAGTAGTAGTAGTAGTGGTAGTAGTAGTAGTGGTAGTAGTAGTAGTAGTGGTAGTAGTAGTAGTAGTAGTAGTAGTAGCAACGATAGTGGTGGTAGTTGTAGTAGTAGCGATAGTAGTAGTAGTAGTAGTAGTAGTAGTAGTAGCAGTAGTAGAAGTAGTGGCAATGGTAATAGTAGAAGTGCCGGTGACAATAGTAGAAGTAGTAGTAGTAGTAGTAGTAGTAGTAGTAGTAGTAGTAGCGATAATGGTGGTAGTAGTAGTAGTAGTAGTAGTAGCGATAGGAGTAGTAGTAGTAGTAGTAGCGATAATGGTGGTAGTAGTAGTAGTAGTAGTAGTAGCGATAGGAGTAGTAGTAGTAGTAGTAGCGATAATGGTGGTAGTAGTGGTAGAAGTAGCGATAGCAGTAGTAGTAGTAGTAGCAGTATCGATAGTGGTGGTAGTAATAGTAGTAATAACAACGATAGTGGTGGTTGTAGTAGTAGTGGTGGTAATAGTAGTAGTAGTGGTGGTAAAAGAAGTAGTAGTTATAGTAGTAGTAGTAGTAGAAGTTATAGTAGTAGTAGTAGTAGTAGTAGTGATGGTAGTAGTAGTAGTAGTAGTAGTAGTAGTAGAAGTAGTAGTTGAAGTAGTAGTAGCGATAGTACTAGTAGTAGTAGTAGTAGTAGTAGTAGTAGTAGTAGTAGTAGAAGTAGTAGTAGTAGTAGTAGTAGTAGTGGGGGTGTTGGTGGTGGAGGTGGCAGTGGTGGTAGTAGTAGTAGCGATAGTGGTGGTGGTAGTAGTAGTAGTAGTAGTAGTAGTAGTAGTAGAAGTAGTAGTAGTAGTAGTAGTAGTAGTAGTAGTAGTGGGGGTGTTGGTGGTGGAGGTGGCAGTGGTGGTAGTAGTAGTAGCGATAGTGGTGGTAGTAGTAGTAGTAGTAGTAGAAGTAGTAGTAGTAGTAGTAGTAGTAGAAGTAGTAGTTGAAGTAGTAGTAGCGATAGTACTAGTAGTAGTAGTAGTGGTAGTAGTAGTAGTAGTAGTAGTAGAAGTAGTAGTAGTAGTAGTAGTGGGGGTGTTGGTGGTGGAGGTGGCAGTGGTGGTAGTAGTAGTAGCGATAGTGGTGGTAGTAGTAGTAGTAAGTAGTAGTAGTAGTAGTAGTAGTAGTAGTAGCGATAGTGGTGGCGGTGGTAGAAGTAGAAGCGATAGTGGTAGTAGTAATAGCGATAGTGGTGGGAGCATTGGTAGTAGCGATAGTGGTGGTGGTGGTGGCGGTGGTAGTAGTAGTAGTAGTAGTAGTTGTGGCAGTGGTAGTTGTAGACGTGGTGGTGGTAATAGTAGTAGCGATAGGGGTGGTAGTAGTAGTAGTAGTAGTGGTGGTGGTGGTAGTGGTGGTAGTAGTAGCAATAGTGGTGGTAGTAGTAATAGCAGTAGCAGTAGTAGTAGTAGTGATGGTAGTAGTAGTAGCGATAGTAGTTGTAGTAGTAAATGTAGTTGTAGCGATAGTGGTAGTAGAAGTAGTAGTAGTAGTAGTAGTAGTAGTAGTAGTAGTAGTAGAAGTAGAGATAGTTAAGTAGTAGTAGTAGCGATAGTAGTAGTAGTAGTAGTGATGGTAGTAGTAGTAGTAGCGATAGTGGTGGTAGTTGTAGTAGTAGCGATAGTAGTAGCAGTAGCAGTAGTAGTAGTAGTAGTGATGGTAGTAGTAGTAGTAGCGATAGTAGTTGTAGTAGTAAAAGTAGTAGTAGCGATAGTGTTAGTAGAAGTAGTAGTAGTAGCGGTGTAGAAGTAGTAGAAGTAGCAGCGATAGTAGAAGTAGTAGTAGTAGTAGCGATAGTAGTAGTAGTAAAAGCGATAGTACAAGTAGTAGTAGTTGTAGTAGCGATAATAGAAGTAGTTATAGTAGTAGCGATAGTAGAAGTAGTAGTACTAGTAGTAGCGATAGTAGAAGTAGTAGTAGTAGTAGCGATAGTAGAAGTAGTAGTAGTAGCGATAGTAGAAGTAGTAGTAGTAGTAGTAGCGATAGTAGAAGTAGTAGTAGCGATAGTAGTAGTAGTAGTAGTAGTAGTAGTAGTAGAAGCGATAGTAGAAGTAGTAGTAGCGATAGTAGAAGTAGTAGTAGTAGTAGCGATAGTAGTAGTAGTAGCGATAGTGGTGGTGGTAGTAGTAGTAGCGATAGTAGAAGTAGTAGTAGTAGTAGCGATAGTTGAAGTAGTAGTAGTAGAAGAAGCGATAGTAGAAGTAGTAGTAGTAGTAGCGATAGTAGTAGTAGTAGTAGGAGGAGTAGTAGTAGTAGCGATAGTAGTAGTAGTAGTAGTAGGAGTAGAAGAAGTAGTAGTAGTAGCGATAGTAGAAGTAGTAGTAGTAGTAGCGATAGTAGAAGTAGTAGTAGTTGTAGCGCTAGTAGAAGTAGTAGTAGTGGTAGTAGTAGTAGTAGTAGTAGTAGCGGTAGTGGTGGTGGTAGTAGTAGTGGTACTAGCGATAGTGGTGGTGGTAGTAGTAGTAGTAGTAGTAGTAGTAGTAGTAGTAGGGATGCTTCTGTGAATGTCAAATCAGCTAAACTGTGTAGTAGTAAAATCTTCATTCATGCAATCTCATACTCCCTTGTTAATCTCACACTGCCTGTTTGCCTGTGTGTCCGAGATATTGACACACAGCTTGCCCACGTCGCCCTATTGACCTCCCTGTTGGTTCATTCACATTTATTCATTGGTCTACGAGCATGTAGTTTTTATCCACTCATTTGTCTTTACATTTCGGGTTATCGTTTTTTTTGTTTTTTTAATGAAGCCCCCACATGCCCACGCCCCATCTGAGCAACAGTTAACGGTATATTTTAGTCCAATGAAAGGGCGGTCCTGTGGTCATACGCCAGATGTTCGCACTTAAATAATTCACTCATCTGGCCAAACGACACGCTAGTTGTCGGTAATTGATAGCGCAAAAATTAGAAAGTCCGCTCATGAAACATTTAATGCTAATCAATTAATTCTCGTGCTGTTTCCCCGTTAAGCGCTTGAAACAATGGATCGAGGGATGTCTGCAGTTACATGCTTTGTGTTCCATTGTTGTAGACGACCCCCTAATTTCCCTAAGGTATATGCAGCCATCTGTTACACGGGATGGTTCTCGCCAGCTGTAGATGGTATGCATGGTGTTAGTTATCGGGGTGGGCTTGGTATGCTGTATGTGTAGTGGTGAGGTTATCGTGGGGTGTTAGGGGTAGGTCGTGGTCTAAGGGTGGTCTTCAGGTATGCTGTATGTGTAGTGGTGGGGGTATCGGGGGTGTTAGGGGTAGGTCGTGGTCTAAGGGTGGTCTTCAGGTATGCTGTATGTGTAGTGGTGGGAGTATCGTTGGATGTTAGGGGTAGGGCGTGGTCTAAGGGTGGTCTTCAGGTATGCTGTATGTGTAGTGGTGGGGGTATCGGGGTGTGTTAGGGGTAGGTCGCGGTCTTCGGGTGGACTTCAGGTATGCTGTATGTGTAGTGGTGGGGGTATCGGGGGTGTTAGGGGTAGGGCGTGGTCTAAGGGTGGTCTTCGGGTATGCTGTATGTGTAGTGGTGGGGGTATCGTGGGGTATTAGGGGTAGGTCGTGGTCTAAGGGTGGTCTTCGGGTATGCTGTATGTGTAGTGGTGGGGGTATCGGGGTGTGTTAGGGGTAGGTCGTGGTCTAAGGGTGGTCTTCGGGTATGCTGTATGTGTAGTGGTGGGGGTATCGGGGTGTGTTAGGGGTAGGTCGCGGTCTAAGGGTGGACTTCGAGTATGCTATATGTGTTGTGGTGGGGGTATCGTGGGGTGTTAGGGGTAGGTCGTGGTCTTCGGGTGGACTTCGGGTATGCTGTATGTGTAGTGGTGGAGGTATCGGGGGGTGTTAGGGGTAGGTCGTGGTCTTCGGGTGGACTTCGGGTATGCTGTATGTGTAGTGGTGGAGGTATCGGGGGGTGTTAGTGGTAGGTCATGGTCTTCGGGTGGACTTCGGGTATGCTGTATGTGTTATGGTGGAGGTATCGGGGGGGGTTATGGGTAGGTCGTGTTCTTCGGTTGGACTTCGGGTATGCTGTATGTGTAGTGGTGGGGGTATCGTGGGGTGTTAGGGGTAGGTCGTGGTCTTCGGGTGGACTTCGGGTATGCTGTATGTGTAGTGGTGGAGGTATCGTGGGGTGTTAGGGGTAGGTCGTGGTCTTCGGGTGGACTTCGGGTATGCTGTATGTGTAGTGGTGGAGGTATCGTGGGGTGTTAGGGGTAGGTCGTGGTCTTCGGGTGGACTTCGGGTATGCTGTATGTGTAGTGGTGGAGGTATCGTGGGGTGTTAGGGGTAGGTCGTGGTCTTCGGGTGGACTTCGGGTATGCTGTATGTGTAGTGGTGGAGGTATCGGGGGGTGTTAGGGGTAGGTCGTGGTCTTCGGGTGGACTTCGGGTATGCTGTATGTGTAGTGGTGGAGGTATCGGGGGGTGTTAGGGGTAGGTCGTGGTCTTCGGGTGGACTTCGGGTATGCTGTATGTGTAGTGGTGGAGGTATCGGGGGGTGTTAGGGGTAGGTCATGGTCTTCGGGTGGACTTCGGGTATGCTGTATGTGTTATGGTGGAGGTATCGTGGGGTGTTAGGGGTAGGTCGTGTTCTTCGGTTGGACTTCGGGTATGCTGTATGTGTAGTGGTGGGGGTATCGTTGGGTGTTAGGGGTAGGTCGTGGTCTAAGGGTGGACTTCGGGTATGCTGTATGTGTTATGGTGGAGGTATCGGGGGGTGTTAGGGGTAGGTCGTGTTCTTCGGTTGGACTTCGGGTATGCTGTATGTGTAGTGGTGGGGGTATCGTGGGGTGTTAGGGGTAGGTCGTGGTCTTCGGGTGGACTTCGGGTATGCTGTATGTGTAGTGGTGGAGGTATCGTGGGGTGTTAGGGGTAGGTCGTGGTCTAAGGGTGGACTTCGGGTATGCTGTATGTGTAGTGGTGGGGGTATCGGGGTGTGTTAGGGGTAGGTCGTGGTCTAAGGGTGGACTTCGGGTATGCTGTATGTGTAGTGGTGGGGGTATCGGGGGGTGTTAGGGGTAGGTCGTGGTCTAAGGGTGGATTTCGGGTATGCTGTGTGTGTAGTGTTGGGGGTATCGGGGGGTGTTAGGGGTAGGTCGTGGACTTCGGGTATGTTGTTTGCGCATCAGGTAACTCTTGGTCTAAGGGTGGACTTCGGGTATGTTGTTTGGTGGACTTCGGGTATGTTGTTTGCGCATCAGGTAACTCTTGGTCTAAGGGTGGACTTCGGGTATGTTGTTTGGTGGACTTCGGGTATGTTGTTTGCGCATCAGGTAACTCTTGGTCTAAGGGTGGACTTCGGGTATGTTGTTTGTGTACCACGTGATTATCATGGGGTGCTGATCTAGGTTCAGCGTTAAGGGTGGACCACGGGGTTGCTGTACGTGCACTGTCGGGGTGTATGTGGGGTGTTAAGGGTAGGTTCAGGTTTATGGTTACACTTCGATTTGTTTATATATAGTGGTGAGGTGCCCGTTGGGTTTTAGGGGTAGGTTAACGGCAGACTACGGGTTGTTGTATGTGTAATGTGTATGTGAGTAAGTATGTCTGTAGGTCGCTGTCAGCAATATTCCAGCAGTACCACACCTGAAATGGACTTCACAAATTGTACCGGAGTTGGGATACAAACCCGGCCTTCGGCCACCACGAGGCTACCCAACCGCCCCACGAAGGCGGTGTACGGGTGGATATCCAAATAAAACACTTTTCCACTTATCGTCAGTTAGGGTCATAGTTATATTTCATCACATAACCTTCAAATTAAGATCCATGCGTATTCTATAAAACGACTCTAAAGGTAGCCATCGACCACTCATTCCAATCTCTGCTTAATCTCCATGTTCCCGATGCAAAGGCGTTAACTTACTATAAAAGCTAAACTTTTATAGTCAGTTATCATCCAAAACTGGCTCCCACAGGAGATATCGCCTGGGTGAGATCAGGCGATACCTTCATTGTAGATATCGCTGCAATGAAATTGCATCACAATGCTTTGGAGACCATGGTAACAATGACGTCACAATCAAATGACGTCCCTAATGGTTCTGCTACTGAAGCTGTAAGCAGTACTGTTTACACTTAAGACACTGCTTATTACTGTCTACAAACTGAAAAGGTTGGACAAATGATGTTGGATGGTAAATAAAATCTCACCCTCGTGTCTTTTGATATCAAGTATATCAACACGAGTTGATAAAAGTGGAAAAACTCCAAGGCTTCTCTCTTTAAGGCCCTTGCCTCGGGAAAATGCTTAACTCATAACATGGCTTGCATGATCATGCTATTATTTAGCTTCACCGTGTCTTCTTTAAATGAGGTGCGGTCGGGTAGCCTAGTGGTTAAACCGTTCGCTCGTCACGCAGAAGACCCGGGTTCGATTCCTGACATGGGTACAATGTGTGAAGCCCATTTCTGGTGTCCCCCGCCGTGATATTGCTGGAATATTGCTAAAAGCGGCGTAAAACCAAACTCATTCACTCACTCTTTAAATGAGTCGGTCGCTATAACACAGATGATACAGAACGGTATTTATGACGTATTTAGGTCTCGTGTTACTTCCAGTCTGTGGGTAACGATCGCTGGCTTTCTTTAATATGTCTCCCGCTTCGACATATTTTCTTTTCGTTTAAGGTGGTGATGTGGGTGTTGATCTGTGCTGAAAATGATATGTTCTGCTTATGTATGTTAAATCTGTACGTACACATACCAATGTAACTGATATATGAGACCACGTACCCCATCGAACGTGTGGGGTGTGTGGTATATGTGATTACACGACGACATGCGTATTGACAGAACACATACATGCACATAGGTGATATACATCACATGTCTGACAACATCACCTTTGTATATTCGCTATCAGGGTGCCAACGCCGCCCGCAGTCGTATTGTTTTAGCGCGTGTGTGTGTGTGCGTGCGTGTGCGTGCGTGTGCGTGCGTGTGTGCGTGTGTGCGTGTGTGTGTGTGTGTGTGTGTGTGTGTGTGTGTGTGTGTGTGTGTGTGTGTGTGTGTGTGTGTGTGTGTGTGATTTATTCTTTTCTTTTTTCATTTCTCCCTTTTTTTAAGGGGGAGTGAAGGGAGGTGGCGCTGTTGGCGGGGCTGTGTACGTTGGAGTTTGTTGGGGATGAGTGGAGGTGGATGTGTTATAATGGGAGCATTGATCCATACGTTCGTTAACACACTATCATAACGAGGACACAATCTCCGACATGGGATTATAGATATAGACGGACCATAACAAGGTACACATGGGACTCTTTACGCAGAGCTGTGTCCTTCACGTTTAGCTATCAGGGGTTCGAGTCCCACAAATACCTGTATTTAGGTCCTAGGTGTGTCAGCGTCTTTCGAGTCTAAAACCCAGGTCGCAGTAACGTGACTGCTAACATCTTGTATGAGCGTGTCTGTCACTGTATGTACATGCCATTGATCTTGTCTGTCACTTACAATTAAGTGGTGGGGTAGCCTTGTCGTTAAGACCCGGGTTCAATTACTTCACTCACTCACTCACTCACTCACTCACTCACTCACTCACTCACTCACTCACTCACACACTCACTCACTCACACTCTCTCACTCACTCACTCACTCACTCACTCACTCACTGACAACATTGTCCCGCTGTTTACACACTGTACGTGCAGTCAACCATACCTGTCAAAGAAACATGCAGTATGACAATTGACAACCGGCGTGGACTGGGGACTGTGTCATGGCAACTAGCAGCAGCAGCAGCATGCATTCAAACATCAATTGTTACATCATCGACATGACATTGACTTGACTTCCGCCTGTGTCAATATTGACAACCACGCCACTGTCACTCAGACTAGGGCAACTGACATCGATAACAATAGATGTTGTCATGGCGTTCTGTTCCACTGACCTGCATCTATACACATGAAATACACATTAGTCCCGAAATATGGTCAATTTGTATATTGATTAGTTTCCGTGGTTAAATCAATGTGGTGAATATGCTTATTTCAAGAGACATTTTGCAGGTAATCCAAGGGTAATATAATTTACATCTAACATGGCTATTTTGTTGAAAGTACCTTTCAGCATAGATATTGAATATTATTTTTTGACAAGTTTACACATGTCTGCTTCCGTGGTCTGGTGGTAGAGTGTCCGCCCGGAGAGCGGAAGGTCCCCTCTTTGAGAGAAAGTTAACACTTAATGTGAAAATGCCTTTTCGGCACACCAAGACGTATATATCTCGATATTAATTATAAGAAAAGCAAATGTGATGTTTCAACAGCTTTGCAATCGTCACCTGTAAAACTGGAACCCCTTAATCTGCTCTGTAATATTCACAGGGTCCGGTTTAACAATTTTCCGGAATAACGATTAATAGGAATATGGAGTTACGCCCTATGTAGACGTTCCGGAAAGAGAGGGTCTTAACGAACAAGGTTTTACTGGGTGGGGTATACTTTGTCGAGGATGGGTGGTCTTCTTAAGACAATAACTTGTGTTTGTAAGTCAAGCGATGTCAAGTAGGTGTAAATTGGAAGTGAGACATAGGTAACAACCCTTCCCTGAACAAGCCCCTTGGAGTGGGGAGGAGGTTATTGCTATATTGCAATAACAAGGCAAACATGATCAATCCACGTGTTTTCTCTCGCTCTCGTCTACAAACAAAAGGTGTGTATATATTAAACAGTCATGGTCATTTCAGTATTAACAAACTACTCAAATAGTTATATATATATCGTTATTCTTGATAGAAGTCGTCCTATGGGGAAGCAGTTTAAATTTGTAAACAAAAAGACCTGCAAAATGCATTTTAGATCGAACTATTCGAAGAATGGTAAGTATGACCAAAATATTAAGTACAGTAAACTACGGTTATAACGAACTCGAAGGGACCACTAATTTTAGTTCGTAATAACCGTAGTTCGTTATAAGCATATATACAGCATTTATTCTACAAATGGTCGGGACTAAAAAATAAGTTCGTTATATCGGTCAGTTCGTTATAAGCGTGTTCGTCATAAACGTAGTTTACTGTAGTTGTATTCTATTCTCAGGCGCTGTTAGTATATGATGGATGCCAAAACAGTACAGTTATACACTGCCGGGCAAAAGAAAGTAGTCATTTAGAAATTGGGTTTGAACCCCCCAAAATACAAACGTTACGGGATTGAACACAGTCTCAAAACACTGCAAACTTAAGGTCCAAAACACAAGTATCAAACCGGTATCACCATAGAATAACCATGTCATGTTTGTTTCAATTTTAGCGACCTTCAAATATGGGTGTATACTTCCTTTTGTCCGACAGTTTAGAAAAGAAGAAAAAAATGTAAAGCGCTTCCAGGTGTTGCCTGAATGCCGGACCTTACAAATGACAGCCATACATACACGCGCTGCCCTGTACCGCAAAACAAATTATTACCACCTTGCACCGTCGTGTTACAATAGCAGGTACACCAGAGCCGAGGTGCGCAACACGCGGTGGTTCAACGCAGTCAAACACCGTTATTCCGGACACCGTTAATCTGGAAACAAATGTATATTTTATATGAGACAATACTCAGAACGAACGGTTCGTTTATCCGGAAATACGTCAATACGACAATTGTTCCGAAACCATGGTTTTCATTTTTAAGTTCGACAAGGGTACAAATCCAAGGGGTAGAGGATAGCACTGAGGAGTGAAATATCCTGATCGGCTTAAATTAATTTAAGAAACAGTTTGTAAAGAATTTATAATGATTGGTTTATATCGATTATCACCTCATGTGTTCTCGAAAGATTATTTCAAGTCTTGAATGGAAGTATGATCTGCCATAAATGAGACTTGATGGAGTATTGTTTTACGCCGCTTTAGCAATATTCCATCAATATAACGGCGGGTGGGTTGGGGTGAGGTCACAAATGGGCTTCACACATTGTACACGTGATGGGCGAGACCAACGAACGCTTTAACCACTGTGCTACCCCGCTGACCCTAAATGAGACTCGACGAAGAGGCATGACAATGGTCATGACATCGGAGATTGTCTACAGCATGCACTGACGTCCTTTACAGAGGTGTAGGGACAACGCTTATATTTTATATAGATTTAATGTCATATGTGCGTTATTTATCGTGATTGGGTATATGACCTGCAGGCTGTAGTGGAACCTCGTTAATTCGAACACGGTCTTGTATAACAGGTTCGTGATTCGAACGGTACCGTTTTGAATTAAATCCTCCGGATAACCAATTTCTGGATAAATGACAGTCATAGATTCATGTCCCGTGTATACAAGTTGACGGTTCTAATTATGGGGTCCGGTTTAACGAGGTTGTAGGATATAAACACTCCTGTGTGTAACCATATTTTGTTCTTGAAGATTATACCTATCAATAATTTTCAAGTTAGATTATTTTCTAAAGTTAGCTATTCCGCCATCTTTTTACATCGCACACGTGGGTGTGCATGTTGCAGACAAATGTCAGAAGATGCTGTACAGACATGCGCAGACTGACCCTATCGACCGCAGCCTGCTTCACGCGCCTAAAATAGACACACGGCGATCGTACAGCACCAGTCATGGGTGACGGCGAATGTGCCTCCATATCGTCTCATCTCACTTGGTGCTTCGGAGGCCTCAGTCCGGCGGGTTAGAACAACGCGACCTCTTGAGCATCATAAACTGTGGATAGCGAGTTTCTGAGTGTCCCGAGAGCTGTATGTTATTCCTGACAGGTGCATGTGTGTTCAAGGCGGGGACGGTGGAGTTAACATACAGTAATGCTACCGTTGAGGGAGGAGAGAGTCGGCAGATGAGGGGATAGTGTTACAGGAGAGGGAGAAGAGAGAAGGCTTGATTTCAACGTGTCGTCTGCTATGTAAAGTTTGGATGAACTTTGCTAGGTGAGAATGACCCTTCGCCAATACGTCTCCCACGCTATATCACATTCTGTATAGCCGTATGACATGTATATGCACGAATATAGAAGACATATTCTTTGATACGCGGGCGTGTCTACCGTTTGATTCAAAGATTGACATTTGAAGATATCTGTTATTGAAACGAGTACACTCGACTTACACGCCTTTTGCCTTTACGTTTTGTGACCCGGGATACAACTGCCCTTACCGTATTGTTAAATGTGTTTTGAATCAAACCATTTGTGGCGGAGCAGTGCTACATTGGCAGTTAGAAGCGATCGACAAGCGTACAAATCCAAGGGGTAGAGGAAAGCAGTGAGGAGTGAAATATCCTGATCGGTTATAGATCGGACGGAAGCGAGTTATGCAGCGTATTAGCCTCACCTGGATCTGACTTCGTGGGACGGGTAATTCGATTTGGTGTTATACACTGGTGGAAATTGACCGAATCATACAGGATTTGCGTCTAAGGCTTACCTGGACGGTAAGGCCACGACAGTATACATACAGATTGATCGCAAGGCTATAGATGTAATCAGAGACGAGCCATTTAAATATTGTTTCTAATAGACTGGGTGGCATTTCTGTTTGAAAAGAAGACTGGAGTTGGTCTAAGGACGATGTATGGAAGGGATTACTTTGGTAAAAGCGGATAGTTTGTACAGCGAGTTGTGTTTGCTGTGGTAATTCCGAGGAACTGGTTGACAGTGTGCGGAGTCAATAAAGGTGAGAAGGGATCGACAGAAACGGCATCATGGGATATAGTATTAACAAGTTCGTCTGCGCCGTCGATCCCAACTTAATATGCGGTATTTGCGGGTGTGTTTTGCAAGACGCTGTGTTGACCCCCTGTGGACACACGTTTTGCTGCCTGTGCCTGGACACTTGGCTCGCCAGGCCCGGGACGGAGACTTGTCCGGAGTGTCGGACACACGTCGGTGACGACGGGGGCAGCCCCGTCCATTCTCTCCGGAACCTCATCAACGGCTTCGAGGTTGAGTGCGACCACGCAGAGAGGGGTTGTAAAGTGGTTCTTAAGCTCGACCGCCTCAAGTCTCACCTCGACACGTGTGCGTACTTTCCCGTGGAGTGCGCGGGGTGCGAGGAAGTGGTCAACAGGTTCGAACTGGCCAGTCACCAGATCCAATGCGTGGGGATCGCGGCGTCCGTGGAGGAGGGGGCGGTGGACACGACGTGGAGTGACCGGAGGAGGCGACGAAGAGCCACGGAAGCAATCAACAACGCGGAGATAACCGAACTGCTCTGCAGGATAAGCTCCCTTGAAATGCAAGTCGCCAAGTTTAAACGGGATATAGAGCTCGCCAATGCCAAAAATAGGATGATTGAGAAGGAATACATTAAAGTGAAGGAGGAGTTGAACTGTACAAGACACGAAGTAGTTGAGCTCCAATCTTCTGACTACGATCCTAAATACGACTATGGCCACACGCCTCAAAGCATGGCCCGGCTGTCTCTGCTGATAGCCAAGTTCCTTCTTCGGAGGCCCAGACATATAGATAGTGACTTCATCTTCTCTGCCGTCAAGAAGTGCTACGAGCAGTACTTCCGCTGCAACAGCGACTTCGAACACGACGTCCATATGCTCCTAGCGACCGCTTTTGCCAGCAACTGGTTTACTCCGTCTCAGCGATTAAGTCTCGGGTGCTGGTTGCAGTGCATTGCCAGATACCGCCACGATACTCGGGATTCAACCAGGTACAGTCCAGTAATTATGGTTCGCTGAAGGCGTAGATTCATGACCAGTGATTGCCATTGTGACCAACGTGACATTGTCTTGATGACTGCTGAATATATAAACCAAGCGAACATTTATCCTGCTGAAATTTATACGGAGGTTCCGTGATTATGACCTAGTGAATTTTCAGTGATGAGTGACTGCCAAAATTGGTGCAGAGGTCATGTGACTGGCTGAAGTGACTTGTGAAATAGGTCTTTGGCATCCATTGCCGGTCCTATGGCCAAGGTAGAGTTAGCTCCATGCGAGGATGTTCCGATAAAGACGGGGCTAGTAAGAGTTGGGAACCAGATCGACTGAAAATGTGACCAAGGTGTAGTGAAGACTGTTCCAATGAATATAATTAAGGGGAACCAGCGGCGATAGATAGCGATTCGGGGACGTGTTACTATTGCTCATGCTGAGCTCGTCATAGGCCCAGCTTCCCTGAACACCGGAACTGAAGTGGACAATAGACAATAGTCACAGTACTGTGTCACACGTCAAACGAGTGGCCCAATCGTCGCGATTCGCTGTGCAGAGTTGCGTCCCTTGGGCACGCCAGAAACCTACGATTGCGAGTTCGAATCCCGGTTTGCCCCCATTATGTTTCTAGGTTTGTCAGCACCATACCCGTGCTCGTGGGTTTCACCTAAGTGGTAAACGTCAGAGACCTGCATCACTTCGGGCTTTCCTCCCACATTAAGCTGACACGCCGCGATATAACTGGAATACTGTTAAAAGCGGCGATAATACCAACTCACTCACTCAAGAATGCCCAAGTTGATAACGCGGAACTACAGATTCACTGGTCACTTCTTTCTTCCAACGCAACAAGAACCACAGAGCCAAAAATCCAATCACTGATAAAGACAGTCGCATCTCTGATACTAATTCCCGTTAGTGTGTGTATGAGCTTGAATATTTTGTATCTTGCCATTTCTTTCATTTGCACTTAAGTCATATATAATCGAAATACAGTGAAAACACGTTAATCCCGACCCCAGTGTTCCGGACGATCTGTTTGGGACGCGGTATATGAACAAAATTTTAAATATTAATTACTCTAATTGATGATTCTTGAATCCGTCAATTTGATTATCCGGACGATGACCGTCCGGATTAACGGGGTTTCACTGTCTTTGTTTCACTTGGTATGACGTATGACTGACGTAAGCAAACCAGATTTGATATACGGGTCAACCAAGCACCAAGTATATCATGTACCCACTATTTCTCCAACTGTTAGTTGTTTGGAAAGTATTATATAGATATGGTCAGTGTAGGAAATATATCACATCGCTTTAAAACTGCTGACAACGCTCCCGCTGCTTAGCGAAGCTTAATCTGTTAACCCCCTTCATAATGGAGATTATGTTTTATTTATCGGTTGAACAAGTGCAATATTATTTATTATTCTTTGGTTGTGAGTTTACCATTGATGGCATGCTTAAGTGTTTATCGAGTAACACCGTATACTAGGTTTTGTCTTAATCTGCTTAGAATGACAAGAAACAGCGAGTGTGATCGATACCTAATCGATACTTAATCGGTTGTAACTAATGTATGGCGTTACGCTTCAGGGACCAGTCAACCCACATTATCACGTTATGCACGAGTGTTTGTAAGACTCCCTGTATACTGTCATTAGCAGTAAAGCCACAATATATAGAGCGGCCAAGTGTGTTGTTTGTTTTTATTATTCTGTGTGTGTCAGTGTGTGTGTGTGTGTGTGTCAGTGTGTGTGTGTGTGTGTGTGTGTGTGTGTGTGTGTGTGTGTGTGTGTGTGTGTGTGTGTGTGTGTGTGTGTGTGTGTGTGTGTGTGTGTGTGTGCACCAACTGAAATAGGATGAGTAATAACATTAGCATATGACTATGAACCTTTGTGGACTAAACAACGACAAACTTCAACGTCATGCCAAGAGCTTCTGAGATGTAGTTGTAAGTCTGAGAGGGGGTGCAGAGCTGGGTGTGGCTGTGTTGTCCCACATTTGATTTGCACGCCACTTTGCAAGTGTGATGACGTTTAATTGTCACACGCCAACCAAAACATGAGCCATGTACAAGCATATTTCAATAAATAAACATTTTGTCCTTTTAATATTATGTTATTTACATTTGCGTGTGTGTGAATTCGTTTCAGATAATTATAAAAAGAAATAATTATTCCTCCAATATTGTCCGTTGGAATTGATGGGTGTCCTGAAAAAAACATTGTAAAAACATTATGATTATTAGGCTTCCTTCGGAATATATATCTTGACGCAGGCATATACCCCGTAGGGATTCTGGGTTGGAATAGGTCCCCAGCAACCTTTGTTGGACGTAAGAGGAAACTGAATTGATCGGGTTGTCAGACTTGGTGACATGGTTGATGGCGTGTCAGCGTAACCCGACTGCGCGGGTCCATGCTCATAATATCAGTCACTGGATTATCCAGACTCGATTATATACACGCCGCCGTCATACAGCTGGAATATTGCCAGCGGAGAGTGACAGACAGAAAGAGTGTGTGAGTGAGTGTGTATGGTTTTACGCCGCTTTTAGCAATATTCCAGCAATATCACGGCAGGGGACACCAGAAAGGAGCTTCACACATTGTACCCATGTCGGGAATCGAACCCGGGTCTTCGGCGTGACGAGCGAACGCTTTAACCAGTAGGCTACCCGGCCGCCCCGACAGACAGAAAGAGAGAGGAGAGCGAGTACGGGAAACTATCATAGCTTGGGGATTGTGCTGCAAAGTACAATTGAATTGAACATAGGACATCGAAAAAAATGTTCCCCAACTAGATCTTCAAGTCAGTTAGAGTCTTTTATGGATCTTGACGACTGTAAAAACCAACTACAAACACATCCAATAATACAGTCAGTGAATAATGGTGTATGACTTTCCCACACAAGACCACAATCGTTATACCTGTTAGACGGAGTAGCATTAAACGTGATATGAATCAATAGTACACAAGTATATCCCTTAAATATTGCTGTAGGACAAGGATTACACATTCTACCGCTTTCACCACGTAACGGGTCGAGAGTGAAAGCAACTGTAGCTACATTAGTCTAATTAATTATCGATTTACCTGACTGACAACCAGCTTTATTCTTCCGTTGACAATGGCGGTGTTGTCAAGTCAATATTCCCGGTAGACGTTTGAGACAGTTTTGTGTATAACGTTGTTTGTTCGAGTCGTGTCGTGATATATGTTATAAACATGGATGAATAGTCTTGACAAGTGCCTTCGCCAAAAAGGTGGATTTACTGAGACTCGTTAGAGATCATATTCACTAAAGAGACTAAGGATCTCTTTAGTGATATGTGCTGGTTCGCCGAGAGGCTATTCAAGTTATTTGTGTTTGAGGTTCTGTGTTAGGGGTAGGTCGTGAGCAGTTTCACATAGAGATGCCCATTATGTTGTGTGACTGGGTTTGCGTCGTGTTAGCGAACATGTACCATTAGTAGCGGAAGGTCATGACAGTTCATCGACACTGCTGACTTAGAGGTGACCAACATACGGATTTCAAGCTTTTCAAATGTTCTCAACAGTATGTGGATCATTTAAACATGCATTAAAACGTATGCACGATTTGTTTCATGGAAAACATTTTTTTAAATGTTTTTGCGGGTAAAATATGCGGTTTTTGTTACAATTGTCCGAATTTTAAACGTGATTGACATCATGAGCGTCGATGTATGCATGTGGGAACATTGCATGTACGGGTTCGAGATAGAGCTATGTATCTTTATCTCGAATTCGAGCTAAGCGGTCAAATGTTTATGTACGTATATAGGGAGGTGGTCGGGAGATATCGGTACATTAAATATAACGGGGTCCGAATGTATAGTACATATAGCATGCCCCAGGTGAGGAGTATTTCTGATAATGTTTTTGGATATTTTACTAGCGCTTCCTATGGAGCAAATTTCGCACTTCGTGTTCGTGCGTGTTGGAGAGCGGTTGTTTATATTAGTTGTCGGGTATATGGGTCAGATGACCTGTTCAATCTTTAAAAACGGTACAATGGACTGATTTTCCTAAACATCGACAAGTGTGAAACGATTTAATCTCACGCAACACATTTTTCATTAACTGTGCTGATCAATTAATTACTTGATTGATTAGAAACTTCGTATATGCCCCTGGGGAGATCAGGAATAACGTTAGATGGAGTAGCAGAAGCCAGATGGCAATGAGCGGTGAGATGACAAGAAATACACACATCGCCGTCAGTGTTTGTTCTACACTACACAGGGCACGGGTCTAAGGCGCCGCGATTCGCTGTGCAGATTAGCGTCCCTTTGGCACGCCAGAAACCTATGATTGTGGGTTCGAATCCCGGTTCGCCCCGATTATGTTTATAGGTTTGTCAACACAATACCCGTTCTCGTGGGTTTCACCGAAGTGGTAAACGTCTGAGACATCACGTCTGCATCACTTCGGGCTTTCCTCCCACATGAATCTGACATGATATAACTGGAATACTGTTAAAAGCGGCGTTAAACCCAACTCACTCACCCACTCACCCACTCACCCACTCACTCACTCACTCACTCTACACTATATGTAATCCCTATGCTTAATCAACCTTCGTGACAGTCAGTATTCAATCCCCAAAGATATAAGTATAACTATTGATTCTTAATACATGAACATTTAATTAAGTCGTGTCTGTTAACCGCTAAAGATTTAATGGCAGATGAAAATAATTGATATAGCACTTGGGGGTGGTTCAAACTATAGACTGCTGTTTAGGGAATACAGACCATTAAACTCAACATGATGTGAATACAAACATCCACACGAAATTGTACAGGATTCCTTTTTCTTTGAAGATTTCAAGTGGTTTAGTGTTAATTTGAGATGAAGATGAACCAAAAAGGCTTTCTAAAGGATTTGTTATATTTTAGAATTTAACGTTTTCAAAATTTAAAATTCAAATTCTGCTTATAAATTGTTGTGTCTTACAAAACCAATAGCGATACATATCAATATTTCTATTACACATGCCCCAGTTTATAAGGGAAAGCTAATTTGATGTGCGACTTTCTTAATTATTCCGATACGCATCACAACGTCCCCGAGCTGCTGTGGTCTGTATGAGCGGTTGTGGTACAACCAATTGACATGACACAGTAGTTTTTGTATTAATGAGTTTTCCGGGTGAAAATATAGGTCCCAAACAACCTATGCTTACAGTGGCGACTAAATGGATTAAGTGGTCAGGCTCGGTGCCTTGGTTCATTTGATTCCATCGATGCTTATTATGTCAATCACTGGCTTGTCTGGTCCAGACTTAATAATTATAGACCGCCGTCATATAGCTAGAATATTTTCGAGTCTGACCTAAAACAACAACAACCAAACAAAGTAACCTTTGTTAAATACATGCATCCTCAGCTAGCACGCTCGATATTTGCAGACGGTAGCCATGAAAGTACACATAAGATGGCTGAATTACCGTCCGTCACGCCTGGCCAATAGCATTTGTTTCCAGTACTGTTAAGCTCAGAAACGCGTAACGTGGAAATCGGGTTACCGTTCAAAGCAAGGGGATTTTCAGGCCGCTTCATATATAACATTCGCTCACAAACGCTTGTTCTTTAAGTTTATTTTGTGCCAATCGCTGGATCACC